AGTCCTTATGAGTAGCAAAGGCTAGAAACAGCCTTATAGCTTCAAGTCTAGCAACTGGAGCGAAGGTTTCATCAAAATCTATACCTTCTTCTTGACAATATCCTTTTGCAACTAACCGGGCCTTGTTTCTGACAACAACGCCATTTTCATCCATCTTGTTCCGGAAGACCCACTTTGTCCCAATGACATGTTGATGAGTAGGTCTGGGAACAAGTTTCCAGACGTCNTCCTTATGAGCAGCAAAGGCTAGAAACAGCCTTATAGCTTCAAGTCTAGCAACTGGAGCGAAGGTTTCATCAAAATCTATACCTTCTTCTTGACAATATCCTTTTGCAACTAACCGGGCCTTGTTTCTGACAACAACGCCATTTTCATCCATCTTGTTCCGGAAGACCCACTTTGTCCCAATGACATGTTGATGAGTAGGTCTGGGAACAAGTTTCCAGACGTCATTTCTGGAAAATTGGTTGAGTTCTTCTTGCATTGCATTGATCCAATCAGAATCCACTAGAGCTTCTTCAATATTCTTTGGTTCTACTTGTGAGATGAAGCAAGCAAGCATAGCTTCCAGATTCTGTTGGGCACTCCTTGTGCGAACACCAGATTGAATATCTCCAATGATCTGTTGAGGAGGATGATCCCTTAACCAACGAAGATTGTGTTGATTGGGATTGACTGGTTGATCTAGTTCAGCTTCTGGTTGAAGAACAGAGGTTGTTGGTGTTTCCGGATAGATTGGCACTGGGTCGCCATTTCCGGAATTGTCGTCGTTTGAGAGATCCGGAATATTGGAAGGCTGGCCAAAATTTCCGGAGGGCTCAGCACTGTCTAAATCTGGATTCCTCTGTGAAGTCTTCAGAGGCAGACTTCTAAATGGAATGAACTCCGTAGGCTTCATTCTATCTCCTTCATTGACTTCTTCATCCTTGTCTGATAGATCCAACACCTCATGATCATGCTTTGATGGCTTGTCAACCACATGTTTTTCATCAAAAATGACATGTATTGACTCTTCAGTGATCATGGTTCTTTTGTTGAAGACTCTGAATGCCTTGCTCACCATGGAATATCCTAGGAAGATGGCCTCATCTGATTTCTCATCAAAAGTGTTCAGATGATTCTTTCCGTTGTTTAACACAAAGCACTTGCTCCCAAAAATATGGAAATATGATATATTAGGCTTTCTCCCGTTCCACAGTTCATAGGGAGTTTTGTTGTGCCTTTTATAAATCATATTCCTATTTTGAGTATAGCAGGCTGTGTTAACAGCTTCAGCCCAGAACCTCTTTGGTAAGGAAGCTTCTGCTAGCATGGTTCTCACTGCTTCCTTCAGGGTTCTGTTCCTTCTTTCAGCTACACCATTTTGTTGAGGTGTCCTTGCTGCAGATGTCTGATGAAGATTTCCGTTTTCTTCACAGTAGTGAATGATGATTTCATTCAGGAATTCTGTGCCTTTGTCAGATCTGATCTTCTGAATGGTCTGACTTGCTTGGTTTTGAATCAGCTTCATGCAGTTGGTGAGTTTCCCTTGAGTCTCCTTCTTGCCGTTGAGGAAGATTGTCCACGTGTATCTTGAGTAATCATCAACTACCACAAGGACATATTTCTTTCCACTTAGACTTATTGGTGTAACAGGGCCAAATAAGTCCATGTGAATAAGACTTAATATCCTTGTAGTTGAGGGTGCCGATTTTGCCTTGAAGGTGGACTTGACTTGCTTTCCTTTTTGGCAAGCATCACAAAT